GGAAGGTACCAAGACCTTGTTGATAAATATTCCGTATCGACTTCACAAATAATACACGATGGTCTTGAAATATAGATTTTGCATACTGAGGTTGTTTATCATCTTAATAACGTGTTAACGTGTTCTTTTATTTGTCTTTATTAATGTAAAATATTTGTTTGTTTTTATTGTGATTAAGATTATGACACAATGTTGACTGCTGTACCCCTATTTTTGACATTTTTACCTATTACTAGTATGTCTGTTTGTTTTGTTCAAACATCGTTGTCAATATAATGGAATTTGATGCAACTGTCATACAAGTGAGAGGTTTAGCTAGCTATAAAACCAGGTTCAATCCACAATTTTCTACATTAGAAAATGCCTGTACCAAGTCAGGAATATGACAGTTGTTATCCATTCATTTGATGTGTTTGAGCTTTTGATTTTGCCATTTGATTAGGGACTTTCCGTTTTGAATTTTCCTCGGAGCTCAGTATTTTTGTAATTATCCTTTTTTTGTAACAGCAGGAACAGAAAAATATAACATGATTCCTTTATTCCAATTGACTTCACCAAGGTCACATGTGCAGGAGTCCAATGGTGAGTCTTTAGCTCTTACAACTAAAATTAAAATAATCTAACAAAAACATTTATTTTAAACAAAGTTGGACTTTATATATGTTCTTAAGGTATATCATCGGTATATGTTTTCCGAGATAGAATTTTCATATACTTTGCCAAAAATGAAGATTTTAATATGCTCTTTTCAAACATATAATAAAAAATATTGCTCACTGTGCTATTTTTAAAGCTAAGAGTCGTTGAAAATTGCCTAAATTTGCTTAGAATAATCATGAAGAACCACATTTTTGTGCATAAAAAAAAATCTATGAGATAGAATTTTGAAATAAATTGTGAGAAGATAGGTTTTATAATATGTTTTAAGAAAATAAAAAGAAAAAATTATGCCATTGAACTTGTTTTCTTGCTTCAAGTAAAGAATTTTGAGAAAGTGAACATTTCATGTGATATGAATATGAACCTTGCTTTGTACAAGACCGACACGCTCAGTTTAACTTGTTTCGTGTTAGATCACACAGTCACTAGAAAGACATGTCAGACATCCCTAACATATTAAGGTAGATAGGGTGTCTTCCTCCATCTTGGATTTTGAAATACCAGGTAATAATCGGTCTAGACCTTTAATAAAATGTGCACATTTTGAGAGTAGTGGGTAATTCATGTGTAAGAATTTTCATTTTAATATAGAAAATGACATGTTTTATTATATCTATGGTTGTATTTTACAAAAAACAGAATACTTTTGTTTGATTCAATTTTTTCTAACTTTGCCACATAAGGGGAGGCAACTCAAATGTAAGGGCAGATAATTCAGATAAAGTTACTTTTACAATAGAATGTGTTAGGAATTTATCTTTTTTATTATGTAGTAAGAAAACGGGCCCGGTGACCCCATTTTTTCTTTTTCTTATCTGAAAGCATAATATTAGAGCTATCTTCTCATATTTTATCTCAAAATTCTATGGTGTAGTTTTCGTTTTATGGCAGAAAATTGGGTTTTCCATGCATAATCTATACAAAATCTGTCAATTTTGCACAACCTGTAGCCTGAAAATAAGCCCCGTGACCCATTCTTTTTATTATTATTTTTAAATAAGCATGATATAAACTACATTTTGGCAATTTATTAAAATATTCTATGGATTATAATTTAGACACCCCATCTACCTTAATCTTGGTTTATTTGGTCGGTGTTTCGAACCAAAGGTTTCTCGCACCTAGATGAGAGAACGCTCTCGCACATTGAAGAGAGAACGCTACCTAGAGACCTAGGCAGTTCGTTTCCAATGGAATGCTAGTTACAAAATTTCCGGATTCTTCGAAGAGAATTAAGTCCCCAATGTAAAGTTTGTTCACAATAAAACGGTAATTCAATATGAAATTATATTTTATTTGGTTTCATATCACAGTCAGTTTTTATATCTTCTGCCCTTGAGCCGTCATGCGAAGGTGGTATATTGCACTGACAGGGAATATGGGCGTAATTTTTATTACCACTTTTATCTTAGTTTTCCCTCACAGGGTATATGAGCTCATACCCCCTGTTAAAGCAATCATTCAATTTGCAGGATTAATCGAAATATTCTACCCCAATATAAAATCGGAATTTCGGAAAAAAACTAATATCATTACTATAATGGTGTTCCTTGATATGGAGATTTTTTATGCACACGCTAAAATAATGTATTTTTTTTTACGCAACGTCAAATTGACGATAACTATAAGACACACAGCTTGGTTGCCAATATCAATAGCCGTAATTATCAGCTGGGGCGTACTCTTGATTTAAATCAAGCTGAACATAACATAAAGGTTACTGTGAATTCATTAATTTTTCGTGGGTACCAATTTTCGTGGATTGTTGAAAAATCGTGTTTTCGTGGATAATTGATTTCGTGGTTTAGCCAATGTCTGTATATAAGCTTATAGAAAGTTCCTCCTTCGTTGAGTATTTAAATTCGTGGGTTACCTAAACACCACGAAATCCATGAAAATTGGTATCCCAGGAATATAAATGAATCCACAGTAATTAAGTACTACAAACAGATGATTTTACTGACCAGAAAAACAGAAACAGCTCAATACTGTCTCTTCTAAGTTATCAGAAAGATTGAGATCCGCTCCATGCTTCAGAAGATCCTTGAGAATCTCCTCAAAGGAGTTGACATCTGAATTGGTATAAATAAAACCACGTCCGGTGTATTTATTAACTAAAGAGAACAATGCAGATTTTCCTGATTCATCCACCAAGTTAACAACTATACCCTTTTCAAGCCAGGGAAAGTTCGTTTTCTGAAAAAAAAAGTAAGGAGTTTTTTTTAAAGATTGTACTCTATATAGATTTTCTATAAAAAGACTGATTATATCACTTATAACTTTCCATCCTACCAAACGAACATTATTTTCACTGGAGCACTAAGGATTCCCAGTAGGTCTTTTAAAGGGGTTCGACTTTATAAATTGTAAGAAGGAAAATGCAGAAAAGTTTTGCAAAATATAGCTAAAGTGATCTATAAACAAACGCATAGCAACAAGCACAGCAAAAATAAGTAAAAAAAAGCACGAGTCCGATGCTAGAATAGCCTACAAATGAAACTAAGAAAAATGAAAACGATACATAAACTAACAAAGGACCTCTAGCAGCCTCCGACATACCAGCCACATATATGTAATTAAAATCAACATTTAAACTAGATGATACATTGTTACAGTATTGCAAATCTATGTACATGTATATTAATTGTCTCTACCTTTTGTCCTGGTATTTTCATAAACAATATGAAGTCCACTCTTTCCTCTACTATCTGTTGTATCTATGTTTGCTGAAGCATCTAAGAGGAGGGTTGAAGTCATAACATCTCTTGTCTCCAACGCAGATAATAAAGGTATAAGATCCCTGGAATGTTCATTGGGATCAGCTTCATTTCCAAGTAATGTTTTTACCAGTTGATACGTTACTGAATCAACGTTGTTTGTTCGTATTGTTTGCCCAACAACCGTAGCAAGGTACAGTACAGACTCATTGTGTAAGTTAAAACACAGTTCTGCACTGTTATTTTCTAACAACATTTTAATAACATCGTGTATATTCTCCTTTGCTAAAACATAAAAAAAAATTTGTTCAATGTTTCTATCCATATTAAAAAAAATTAACGACCTTTTTTTACAGAAATTTGTCTTCGTAGTTAAGACTTCGATATCCCAACTAGTGTTTACGGCCAATGCATATGCTTTCACGATGTTTCATATAAAAGATACAAAAGCGTCGTTATTGGATGTTCGTTATCCGTTTTCGGATAAGATAGTCATTATGCTAAGCAGTTTCATTTAAACATGTATACCTTTATTCTAAGCACACCTTACAACAAAAAGTCAATGTCAAAATCTTTACACAAATGCATATTTGATTCTGAAAGATTAAAATCATGCAAAATACGCCCGTCGACCTTTACTGTCGTCTTTATGCTTTAAATGAATTTATATAATCAACTAGAAATAATGATAGCACTGCTCAAATAGACCCCCCTAAAAAAAGACATCCACACACAATGGTGCCCACTATCACAAAACATTAAAATTTGGCACTGTTAAGGCTACCTCAAGTTTGATTACACAAAGATCATCAGCATCTACGAAGGCATATACATGATATAATATTATGGATCATTTATAATAGACAAGAGTGTAAAAAATAGACATTTTCGACGATTTTTTCAGCAAGTAAAGTTCCATATCTCAGTGATCTCAGTGATAATAACAAATCACCAAAGTTTCGTGAAAACTCCTCAAAGCGTTTTTGAGTTTAAATTTTGTCCGAAAAATCAAATCTATTTATGAACTAAGTCCAAATACTCCTAAACGTAAAATCAGATTTTTTAAAAACCAAATGGAAACCTGTGTTGATATATAAATAAACTATTCACTAAAGTCTCGTCAAAATCGCTAAAAGCATTTTTGAGTTATAAGCAGAAAACTGGAAAATTCCAACTGTCTTAATAATAAAATCTCGGAAACCTAAAATCTAAAATTTTAAAAACTCGAAAAGGAGCTAACGTCAATAGATATAAACAGTTAACAAAAGTGAAATGCATATTGGTAAAAGCGTTTTTAAGTTAATGCCAGACGAACGGACAGACGGACAGACAGACGTACAACGGTATACCATTATACGTCCCATCTTCTAAGCAAGCTTTTTAAAAATGAGAACAAACTAAATGGGAAAATCTCCAATAATTATGAAAAATGTTAAAGGAAAGCTGCTTGGGTTACGTATGACGCAAAGTAGATACCGTCTGTGTGTTTCTTTAGAAAGTACGGATTACAAAGGTTACTACTTCAGATCTCACCTGTGACGCAGTTTGAATAACTAAAATGCTTTGATAAGATTTGAACTATAATTTTTTATGATAATGGTTCTACCAGACCTGTTTGATACACTAACCTACAAAAGCAGTCACAATAAGCATTTGTAGTATAAAAAATGAACTTTGACAGTTAATACAAGAAGGGCGAAAGATACCAGAGAGACAGTCAAGCCCATAGATCGTAAATAAACTGACAACTCCATGGCTAAAAAATAAAAACAGACAAATAATAGTACAAAAGACACAACATAAAAATCAAAAGACAAAGCAACACGAACCCCATCAAACACTGGGGTTGATCTCAGGTACTCCGGAAGGGTAAGCAAATCCTGCTCCACATGTGGCACCCCTCGTGTTGCTCATGTTTTAACATACCCGGTAATTAATCTAATTCGGTAGGTCACAGTCGTGGTGAAAAGGGAAGTGGATTGTAGTTACGACATAAGGAACATATCCGTTATCATCTGTGAAACGGTTAGTCCATAACGGTCAACCAACTCGTGATGGCGTCCGTAAAATTTCCGAAGGGATGATTTCAACTTCAATACACCTTATCATACGAATTTCTATCAACTGATAAAACTGTATTTTCTTTACTAAAATGAGCAAAACAAAAAGTTGTATCGTAACAACAAAGGGGTTAATTCAATCGATATAATTTAATTACTTAGTTATAGAGTGATGTAGAGAGAGTTAAAGAGTGATGTAAAGAGTTAAACAATTAAAAAGTATATGCTTATTTTATGTATTTTTGTGTTTAATCTAGCCAAAACATTTTCCGAGTACTTACGATGTTTTAAACAGATATGTACCATTGTATCGCCTTCTTTGTTTTGATCATATAATGAGACACTGTCCAATTTCAAGAGGACATCATTAGTTGACAGGTATCCATTCTTAGCAGCTAAATGTAACGGCCAATTTCCTTCTTCATCTTTTACACAGCAGGCTCCATTTTGTATAAGGAATGATGCTATTTCTGATATGTCTTTATCGTTCGTTACAAAGCCATATGCACGTTTCCCTCCAAATGTCAATAATGACGCCAATATGGAATTGTCTACCGAATCAATTCTTTTCAAAGAATGTTCCGATTCAATAAAGAACCTTAAAAAGTCTAATCCACCATCTAAAGCTAAAGGGTTCAAATGGAAGAATTATTGAAATGTCAAAATTCGATAATATCTGTATCATGATTATCTTAGCAATGTAAATTATATAAACATACATTAAAAATGTATATTTTGAGGTCGTGTAATAATTTTGTTACCAAAAAAACAAAAATAATCCAGCATTATTAAAAGATTGAGATTTTATATGCACGTGTGCATGTTAGCATTTTTGTCTAATTTTGTTCAAAACTTAATGATATACTGTTTTAAGACAATATATAGACTTAAATGCAGCCATATACCTAAACACTGAGTGTTTAAAGTGATAAATTCCCTTTTTCAATTGACATTATAACCATTGCTGTTTTTCAAAACTGATTTCATCGTATGTTGTATAAGGAAAAAAAATGAAAGTATGCATTTTGATAAACATAGCCATTTAAAAGTTTATCTTAATTTGATTTATATCTTCTACAAATGGATGTATAGAACTTATGTAAATCAAAAACTAGATATGTGATACGTTTTGCTATTCACAATTAATAAAGTGGCTTTGCCATTTGACAGATTGGAAAATTACCATGGAGAAGGACATGTGAACGATGTTTCTTTCATAATGCTGTCTTGAAAACAGTTTCATTCCTTCTCGATAGATAAAAGGGTCAGCAAACAACTCGAAAATAAGAAGCAAAAGATTTTTACCAATGCAATGTTCAAATCTCTTGAACGTTTGGTCTATTGAGTACCTGAGAAAGTTTAATCACCAACTCGTTTCAAGTGCACATATAGATTCTACCAGTTCATCAAGTGTGATACGATATGTATTCACTCGATACATGTTAAATTTTCAAATTTAAAACGCGAGGCTTTTGAATATCTAAAATTTAGTTATCAACAGCGTAAAATTATTTTTTATTTGTTTATTAGTTGGCTGATAAATTGGTTGTATAACATCAAAAACACATTTTCATGTACATTGGTTGGTAGGAAGGGTTGTTGATAAATTGTTTTTATCGAATTTCACATTCATTCATCGAATATATGGCCTAGGTTATTTGCTTGAATGAATGAAGAGACACACATTGCATATTGATTCTTACTATAACGTCCAGTGACAAATTTACACGCAGCTTATCAACCAATTAACCAAGCACACAACAATCAAAAGGCATGTTTATACTAAGAATATGTCAAGACAAACTAGTTTACCGTAGAAAATATGGAATTACTTTCAATAAAAATTCTTTGCTAAAACAGCTCTTTGCTAAAACAATTATGTTATATTTTAGTAGCAATATTATTAATTTATTAAGTAAATCGATGATGAACTAAATACTTTTAAGTTGATCATTTATTCAAATGTCTCAAGTCGCGACTCTTGGCTGTCAAATGTCAATTGCTAACATTTATATAACATGTCTATTAACAAAATGAAAACGACTAGTCAATTATTAATAAGAAATAGATGTATACTGTGTAAAAGATCAATAAAATTAAAGAGAATCTACAACTGTTGGAGTATATTTCATCATGATAATATCGAAGACTATCTTTTACTGTAGAATGCAAATACGTTGGTGAAACTATTTCATCAAGTAAAGTTATGTGTGTTTTATCATAAAATATTATCAACTTCATTGATTATATGGCTAAAAAGATGGTTTTTACTTACAGTCTAACCAACATAGATGCAGGATAGATTTTCCGTTTATATCTTTTTTATAAAAGTCCGCTCCATGGTGTATCAGGCATTCCATCCCCTTGAAATCACTTTTCTTAGCACACATCAACAATGCATCATTTAAGTCATTTGGATCAGGAGTCACACCTGCCTCTAACAATTTTTGAAAACATAAACTAATATTTTTAAAGCTATATTCATTCATAGGAGAAATATACTGATAACCCAAACTCGATGTTGCACTGCGCTTTCCGCACAAGATATCAATGACTTTCTCTGCAACTGTCTTGCCCATGTTGTCAGAAATGTTCATCCTTGGTTTTTCTTTAAGCAAACAGTCGAATAACAACACAGCATTATCATCATCTACAGAATATAATAAAATCAGAAAGATCATACAAATACATAGTATCAAAAACTGCATCTTGTTATAATTGTATGTCTATTCGTTAAATTATTTCTTAGCAATTCTCTGCCAATTGGCAAAAAAAGTAAAAAACAAAACAAACAAAATAAAATGCAATATAATGCATTTAAGAGTGTCATAAAATTCAAATTATTTCTTCATTTGGGTCTATCAAAAATGTTGTCGAGACATAATCACGAGTTGGTTGGCCTTGAAGAATATATGTTTCATAGTTGGCGACGGATTTGTTCCCCATTGTAGTTATTACAATCACAACCTCTTTTCCTCGAAAAGTGACATCACCGAGGTTGTACTTACACGAGCAACACAAAGGGTGCTACATGTGCAAATCGATCTGCTTATCCTTCCAGGGGCACCTGATACCATCCCTAGCCTTTGATGGGGTCAGTGTTGATCAGTCGTAAGTTGTATATCTTGTGTTTTGTATAATGTTGTTTTTTTATGGGTCGTTTCTCGTTTCACGTTTTTCATATAGATTAGACCGTTGTTTTTCCCGTTTGAATGGCTTTACACTTTAAATTTTTGGGGCCCTTTATAGCTTGCTGTTCGGTGTGAGCCAATGCTCTGTGTTGGAGACCGTACTTTAACCTATAATGGTTTACTTTTATAAATTGTGACTTGGATGGAGAGTTGTCTCATTGGCTTCATACCAAATCTTCTTATATCCTTTGGGGCCTCGGTGGCCGAGTGGTCTAAGTAGTTACTACTGTAATCACTAGCCAGTCAACACTGAGGTTGTGAGTTCGAACCTCGCTCGTGCGGGTGCACTCGACTCCAATCTTAATTGACTAGGATTGTCAGTTTTCCTATCGAAGGTCGGTGGTTTTCTCTGGGCACTTCGGCTTCCTCCACCAAAAAAGCTGGCCGCCACGAAATACCCCAAAAGCGGTGCTTAAAAGTGGCGTTAAAAACACAAAAATCGAAATCAAATCTTATATCCTTTTATCGTTTTTGCTATGGCATTGTCAGTTAATTATGTAATGTTGGATTATACCTTTGGTATCTTTCGCCTCTCATAAAAATAATAGTCAAAACTTTAGTAAATCTTGGTACATTTATGCATTCCTAAGTTCAATCACTTTGAATATGATCAAATACATACATGGGAAACTGCTTTTTGTTGAATTGCGGTAAAAGTTGAATAGCTACCATAGCTATTTTAAGTAAGATATTTTTCATAAAGTGGCATTTTTATTTGGTAAAATTAAAGAACGGGACCTGCTTCTTTCCATACCAGATGTGGTAAAGGATCTTCGTACCCTTCCAAAACACATGATGTTACTTCCAGTTTTTGGTTTGGTTTGTATCGCACCTTTACGAGTTTTTTATGTTGTGATTTGTATAATGTTGTTTGTCTTATATCGATTTTGTATTTTGCTATGATATTCTCAGTTTTGTTTTCGACAAATGAGTTTGAATATCCCTTTGGGTATCTTTCATCTCTCTTTAAGCAGCTGTCTGTCGATATCAACTGTTGAGACATCGTCCTTATGGATGATATCATGACAAGTGCTGATAACAAATCTATGTAGAAAAATGCAGTAATAATTTGATATTATTTTATTAATTTTGGCATTGCACACAATCACGCTTTTCTCACACAGTTTATTGCGTCTGATTTGGTTGAAAGTTTACTGATTAATATGGTAATTTGGTTTATCTATATGTTGACATTTGGGCTTTACACTACATGTATTTTTCAGTACCATGTGTTCTGTAAGATCTAAGTTTGTGTCGTTTGTATTTTTATTCTGATGCATAAGTTAAAATCTAATGAGCCAGGGTTTTGTCATGTCTCATACGTTTTCTCAAAAGGTTCATCGGAAAGTACTAAGTTCTAATAGATCAATATTTAGTGTCTTCATCATAAAAACAGCAGGATAATCTTCAGTTATCATTTATAGGTTAAGACGTTGTATATCAACTTATTTTCTTTAAACTATTCCCTATTTATTTGCTTTTGAGCTTTTTTGTACCTTTGTCATTAGACTCTTTTGCATCCATGTTACTCCAGTATTTATATTCAACTTAATGTATACTTCATTAAGAAAATGTATTATGTCATTATCTTTCACTATTACTGTATGTACTAACAACTACAAAATTCATTATGTTGGCGTCTTTGTCAATTTGTTTGATAATTGTTTGAATGTTAAGAACAATTATGGTGTGTGTCTGTGACATTTCTTAACATAGTTTTGACTTTCAGATCCAATTTATTGTCAAGTTAACCAATTATGTCTGTTTGGTTTGCTCACCCAGTTTTGCCCTTATAATTGAACTTAAAACAATTGTCATACAAAGGGGGATTCTGAAGTTATAAAACCAAGCTTTACCCACCATTTTCTACGCCTAATGCTTTGACCAAGGAAACAAATTGTTTTCGATTTGTTCCGTTCGTTGATGTGGTCAAGCGTTTGATTTTGTCAGGTGTAATTGATATCCCCCTTTTAAATATACTTTAAAATTTGGTATTTATGTTAATGCTGTCTAATTATGAGTATGGTTTGCTTGATACTAATCCAATCAGTCATAGCTTGCAGTGAGGTGAGAGCTGTTTTGCTCCGTGTTGAAGGCCTCATTGCAACTTTGAGATGAAGAACAGTAATGAAAGCGCTGTTCCTTTGCTTTTGTGTGTTTACTTATTCTGCCATTACTGATTTTCTGTCATGGATAGATACCTCTTATCCTTTGTTTTTTCTATTCAAAAAATTTATAAAATGTTTGAACAATTTTAAAAGAAGTATGCTGATCTGTGGTTGTTTCCATCAATCCATTTGTGTCTTACGTGGATAGATAATATTTATATGTCAACATTTTGCTGGTTATTTGATGTTTTCGTAAGAATTTATTTTTGTGTTTTGTATTGCCAGCGTCTTTTATAGATTATACGATTTATGAGTTTTGTTCGTTTTTGTAGACCGTGATGTGTTATCAATCAGTAAACATGTTATTTTGTAAACTACTGACAGGATTTGTAAGATTGTTTTCTGACTAGGTCTCTAAAATGCATTATTATGATTAGTATTTTGAAAAACATTTGGTTTCTAGTCAATAACTAAGTGTATGAATCTCTTTGAAATTATACCACAAGGTACTATACCTAAAAGACAAAGGTTGGGATTGAACTAAAGTGTAGTAATTGTAAATAAATGATATCGTGTAAAACACTGCCAAATAGGATTTATCTATATTTTTTTCCCCAAATTGTACATACAAGGAAGAAGGAAAAGTATTGAAATAAAGTACTATTTCATATCAATTCATACACTTATATTTACGTTAATGGCTAGAAACCAAATGTCTTTCTAGTCCTAAAACAATCTTACAGAATCTTACAGAACCTGTCTGTAGTTTACAAAATGCCATGCTTACTGATTGATTACACATCACAACAACGAACAAAACTCACAAAACCGTATAGTAAACTATCACATCAGCTTTGAATATAAGTGCTTTCATTGTTTTTTCTTGTTTGCCTAGTATTTTCTTATCCCCAGATTTTTTAAATTCCCCTTTCAAGTTACCATTTTAAATCTTGATCTTATGAGATCTTAATTTGTTCTTGATTCATTCAAATCATATATTTAGTAATCTTATGTTCCATAAGATTGCTTTCATTAATGGTAAAGTAATGAAATCTTCCTTTAATTTCTATATATATTTTGATTTAGTTTTCAATATGTTTTAAAGATATGTACATTTATGCGTTTCTTTTACATACTGCTCTAGTGTAGTCTCTTACATCTGCTTTATTTAAATCCCAAATGAAGTGTCATATCATTTGCAAGAAATATTCTATATCAACATTGTTGAATAACTTTCTTTGTGTTAAATTGAACACATTCATCCCCTTTTCACTAGCAAAACCACCATGGATATTGAAGACAATTTTTATCAAAACTACTACAACCTCATGATGCATTCTATAACAAAGCTACGTTTTCATTACACATATTGGTATTGCATACACAGAGAAAAATATATTAGATGTATTCTCACCTGTCAAATCTAATAATTCGTGGAGAGCAGTTACCCTCATTCCAACATAGTTAACATCTGCTTTATGAAACAATAACATCTTCACAGCTTGAGAGCATCCAAAATGGCAGAAGTACATAAGTGGCGAGTATTCTACATCGCTTACTAAATTAATTTGTACCTCGTCTTTAGTAGACAAAATCTTATACGTTACGCTGTCAAGAACTTCTCTGTTCCTTGAACAATTATGTGTATTTATGTTTTCACAAAATTTACGGAAGACGACATCAACATTCTTATACAAGTTTAGATGATCAGAAAGAACATCAAGAATTTGCAAGCACCCTTGTGGCTCTGTAAAAATATAAATACAGTTATGTAAATAAAAAGAAGAAAATGTGAATACTATTGATTGAGATTGCTTGTATTTAAATTTCAAGTGCAGTCCTGTTCTTAAAAAATAAATACTATCTGATTGCCATGTTAAAGCTTCACCGTCCAAGATGATGCGATTATAATTCATATTCCTCATCATTGTATTAAACATTTTCAAACCGTTAGCTTCATCCATTTTTATTACCAATTTTGTTCTTTTTATTACTACGATCAAATTTAAAATAATTTTTGCAGTGTATTATTCCATGTATTCATTGATTATATCGTTAGTTATTATATTATTCATTTAAATATTGTAACTTCATATTGACCCTGAGAAAACAGGGCTAAAATGCATAAAACCACTGTATTTAAGATATCCAATCGGAGTATTAACTCATCGTAGGACATGTAGAAAAATACTTCCTTTCGAAACAAGTCTTAACTTAAGTAGTTATATACATGTACATATTAGCCTAGATTCTGAGATAATTTATTGACTGATCACCAACCACTGCATGTACTGACCGATCGTCAAACACATTTCAAATGCTTCTAATTTATCACTGTCTTCAAACTGCATATCTTGATTGGCAAACAGAAGTTTTTCCACTGCTTCAGTCTTCTGATTTCGTATTGCCAGTTGTAAGGGAGAAATTCAATCATTATCTTTAAGATCGATATTTGATTTTTTCGCTAAAAGTGCATCCAGTATTTCTAAAAGGTATACATGTATGTCGTCATAACTGGAAAAATTTCTCTCTGAAAAGAAATGAATGAATGAAACAAAAAACAACGTCTACTTCAAAAGATTGTTGATGCTTCTAGGGCATGAACGACTGATTTAACTTCTGTTGAGTCTTGTGTGGATTAAACGCGCTTCTGGCATATGAAATTATCAGCCTGGCACCTTTGATAACTATTAGCATGTCGAAATGTATTATTGTATTGTTTATTTGTGAACTCTCTGTCTTGAATGTTCTTGCTTTTATTTGTACTGCAGTCCTGTCATGTAATGTTGTCCTTTTAGTGTTATATTTAACATTGCCACAAATGCGCGAGGTTAGGATAGCCACAAAACAAGGGTCAACCCGCCATTTTTTTTCTTAAAATGTCCTGTACCAAATCAGGAAAATGGCAGTTGTTATCTTATAGTTCGTTTCTGTGTGTGTTACATTGTCATTTGGTCTTGCACTTTAGTGTTTCTGTTGTTTCGTTGTTTTCCTCTTATAGTTGATGTGTTTCACTTGGATTTAGTTTGTAACCCGGATTCGTTCAGTCTCAATCGATTTATGACTTTCGAATAGCGGTATACTACTATTACCTTTATTGCAACATCCACACGTGCGAGTTTAATTGACCTGTACAAATAATTAAATTGTAGTTTTTTTCTCCTTTGTTAAAAGGTTGAAGCAATCTGTTTGAAATTCAGACCTCATGCTCCGTTCCGGTTAAGATATTCTGATATTGCCCCATTTTGCTTTATGAACGAACAATTATTCCGTAAACAACGGAAATTCTACTTCTAAATAAATGAAGGAATTTTTTCAAGACCAAGAGAATCCGAGTTTCCCGAAACGCTCAAAATAGACAGATTTTTCGACTTAGTAATATACATAGTCTTTGTTTGTTATATATTTACATATGTTTAACTAAAGACAAACAGAAACCAAATACGCATAGCAACAAAATAATTATTAAAATAACCTTTAATATCATATTAAATATCATTTTCATGTATATCTTACGATTCATCTGTGCCTCTTGTGCAAGGTTTAAAGACATGAACACATGTTAGCAAGATAAGACAATTATAATGATTACACATATTTCCCAAAGGCATACAAAATTCAAATAAATGGGGAATGTGTCCATGGGACACAGATGTGGCCCCGCTTGCATATCATATAAAGTTATTAAGGGACATACTTGAAGAATGGTAAAAGTGACGTTACCAAAGATTTGTACTTGATCTGAGTTTTATGGTAATAAGTATTGTGTATAAGTTTCATAAAATTTGGTTGAGGCAAATTAAGTTACAGAACGGAAACGAAAAACTCAGCATTTGTTTTTCCATTTGTAAAGGGGCATACCTCTTGAAAAATAACAGTAACACCCCCAAAATTTAAATTTGATCCGTAATTTTTAGTAATAAGCATTGTGTATAAGTTTCCTAACATTTGGTATAGACTAACTTAAGTTAGAAAACAGAAACGAAAACTTCAGCAATTTTTCCATTTGAAAAGAACATAACTCAAGAATGATTGAAGTTGCACCACTAAAATTCAAACTTGATCTGTAATTTGTGGTAATAAGCATTGTGTATAAGTTTCATAGCATTTGGTTCAGGCAAACGAAAATAAGAGAACGGAAACGTAAAAGCAATTTTTCCATTTGTAAAGGGGCATAAATCTAGAACGTTTAATGTGATATCATCAAAATTTAAACTTGAACTGTGCTTTCTGGTAATTATCATAGTGTATAAGTTTCTAAGCATTTATTTGAGGCAAAACCAGTGACATCTATTGATGCTACGGCGGGAGCATAAAAATAAACACATGACTCTCACCTTCGAGTCAAATAATAGAAGCCTAAGTATATATATATAGTTAATGCGGAAAATGCACGAAGTTTGGAAGTCAAACAAAGCAACACAACAACACACACGCCATCTTCTCCAGTAAAAGAGAAGCGGAAGATTCTCACGACCATGCCATGGCAAAATAAAACAGAATAAAAAATATAAAAACAGATGAAAACAGATGAAAACAAAAAAACAAGAGAAAAAAAGATAAAAGAATATAAATTACATGTAAACAAAACGGACCTTAAAGGTGCTCTGATTGGTAAGAAAATCAGGCTCTAAATGTGACATCGTCATGAAACCAAAACGATAACGTTGTTAATTCATAAAAAATGAAAAGGTTTCAAGCAATATCCAATTAGTAATTGACTCTCATCCTACCCTAAGACATCATTAAATTTGTAAACCATCGATTAGGCAATATTGTAACCCTTAAAATTACAACATTGAATTCTGAAACATAATCAACAGAAATTTTCCTAAAAACCTAGGAGTTATTTCGGGGCTTCGAATGCAAGCAGATCCTGCTCTACATATAACACATGTCGTAACTATTTTAAGATTAAAGTCTTAAACCTGAGATTAAAGTCCCACAACTTTTGAATAATAAATCTGACCATTAAAAACAATAAGACTGACGGTTAAAAGTGTTTGAAACCAGGAGTCAAAACAAATTCAATATCAAAAGGTTTATAGTTTAACAATATAATAAAACCACATATACAATTTACGCTTTCCACACGATGATGTTAATTTGACAATGAAAGCTCGAACTTCAAGAATAAATATTCAATTATTTCCTGACCTTTCGATATTTCAAAGTATCCACTTAAAACTGTTGAAAGGGCTGTATTTCCACGATAATTCTTTTGATCGACATCAACACCGTGTTTCAAAAGCATTTTTGTAATTCCTGTTTGCTTTAAACTTGCTGCAGCAATCAAGGGCAAATCAGCACCACCAGTCTAAACGGTTGCGTCTAAAGCTAAAATATATATGCACAAACGTGTAAGTTCGAATCCCGTTGAGGGACAAACACTTGGCAGCATGACATTCTAAATCTAACACAGTTGGGGTCAATTTTCAGATTTATAAATATATATATATAGATATACATATAAAAAAAATATTATAAACTAAACAACAATATCAATAAATATTTCGTAGGAAAATATTCTTCATCAGTATGAACAACTTGATTTAAAATGGTGTCTTAATCCACTCTGTTCAAATGCTGTTTGTTATAGACATATTGAACATTTTATAAATTACAAACCAAACATAGTTTGTACAGCAAGTTTTACTAAGATAATTAGAAAATCTTAAATTTGCACGAAACCAAGAATTTACTACAGATGGAAATGCGTTTTATACATCCTATATACGGCAACACACCCAGCTGCCGTGGAATCCATTTTGTCTAGGCGTGTTCATTAAGTCTTAATCATTGACTGCGCAAAAAATCTAACTTTAAAATAGTCATAGTCACTAGGTACACAGTTTGTTTAGTCGCGCAAGTAACATTGCTAAATATTTTGTGTGTCGTTCCATTTGACTGTCTGTTCAATGGTTAGATGTCTTTTTGTTCAAACAACCATTGCAAGAGCCTTAAAACGAATTACAATTTAGAGGAAATATCAAGAAATTACCATGATTACTGCAATTATTGACTTTTTTCCAGCACATATGTAAAGTTGATTTGGGTTAACAAATTTAATTTCTATTTGCAAAATGTCAATATCTTTTGCAGACTTCAATGTATAGTCCACGTTTAGTTATGAAGTGGCCTGCCTCCTTTTACTTGGACATTTAACTGTAAACTCGTCGAACGGGTTGAGTAGCACGGGACAAACGATCTTAATTAGCTCACTATCTTTGTGAGCACGCTCACATATCCCTAGCTCCCACATTGTAACTTGGCGTACATAACTTTACAATCTACAAAAGTCAACATATAGAGAATTCTTGTGGATATGCATATCTACATAATATGACCTATTTAAATACAAAATTTGCAATTCTATTATAATTTTATATACGAATGGCGCTAAAAAACTGTTCCCACAGTTTCTCTGTATCTAAGATAGTTTCCGCAAAACATGCAGATAACTTGCAAATACATTCATTAAAGGGCAATAACATCTATAAGTAACTCTCAAGGTCATTGTAGATATTTTCTTAAAGTTTGCAAGTGCATCGAAAAATCTCAGCATATATATATATATATATTATGTCGATTTCGACCCCTTCGCCCGACGAAGTTCAATAAACTTTAATCACTTTACAAGTATGGATTTGCCTTTCAATTTAAAAGGCATAGTAACGTAATCCATTTGGCTTCACTGAATACATTGATAGTTGTCTTATGGAATGACTATGATGCGCATTTGTCTGATGTTTATATACAAATGTATAATATTTGTACTAAGTTGATGGATCAATTTCAAAAATATCAAATACCAATTTGATTTCATCAATACGCAAGAGCTGAATAATATGAACATGATCGCTTATTATTTACTACAGTGAAAATCATACAATTTGATCAAATCAACAAATATATGTAATAGAATGAAAGGGACTACAACACCTTGTCAATCTTGTTTAAAAATTTAAAAAGACATATTTTTATTTCTTGCTGAAAAAAGAAATTTTAATACGTATTCAAATAAATATAAATAAACTTGATGAGAAATTGGTAACCTCAAATACAGCCTTTACCTTTGCATTTTTTCTTTCTTTTTTGTGCCCAATTTGCAGCGATAGCGGAAGATGTCGAATAACTGTTTTCATTCATTTGATATGATGTCATACGTATTTTTTCGTCAGTTTTTGTGTCATCAATATCTGTTATTCCAAGGTTCGTCTTATTGTCTATAACTTCTATTTCTGGATAGCCCATAGTTTCAATGCTACCATAGTTTATTTGCGGAATAGATTTATTGTCAGTATAGTCGTCAATTTTATCATCACATGAGTTCGATGAGCTATCCAACGACGATGTGGTATCTTCATCTGATGAGTCATCTTCTGAGTCATATAAGTAAGGTGAGTATCGCTGAACGTCTAAAAAAAAAACAAAAAAAAAAAAACAGTTTCAAACAAATTATCATTTGGATGATTATACACAATTAGATTT